CATGTTCCATGTACAAATAGATGATTTTTGTAAGGATTTCTGTTTAGCCTGCCTAAATATTTTTGCTGCTCCTCAGTGTGTTTGATTGAAGTGATGTTACCTACTCATCTCAAAATTCCATGCATGGTTAGTTAGGCAATGAGAACAGTGATAATACCTTCAATTTCTTTGTTGGAAATTAGTCTAAAACATAATGAGTGATGTTTCATTACCACATCCTGAAGGGTCTGGAGCACAAGTCTGACAAGGAGCAGCTGAGGGAACTGGGGGTGATCAGTCTGGAGAAAAGGAGACTGAAGGGAGACCTTAGCACTCTCTGTGACTGCCTGAGGTTGGAGTGAGGGGGATTGGCCTCTTCTATCAAGAAAGAAATCATAGAACAAGAGGAAATGGGCTCAAGTTGTGCCAGGGGAGGTTTAGATTGGATATCGGGAACAATTTCTTCATGGAAAGGGTTGTCAGGCCGTGGCACAGGCTGCCCAGGGCAGTGGTGGAGTGAGTGCCCACTCCTGGAGGTGTGCAAAAGCCTGGTAGGTGTGGTGCTGAGGGATGTGGGAAAGCCCTGGAGCAGGTGGGGTTGGGTTAATGGTTGGACCTGATTATCTGAAAGGTCTTTTCCAACCAGAATGATCCTGTGATTCTGAGATGGAAAGACCGTGTGAATGTCTACAAATCTAAACCACTGTTCAGAACCTGTCCTCAAGCAGGGTGGGTAGATCTGTGGGAAGAATGGTTGAGGGAGGCCAGCCAGCAGTCTGGTGCTTGTTTGCAATCCTGCACAGTGTTTTCCTGTAATGGTGAAGGATAAAATAGGAACTGAGCCAAAAGCAGGCACCTTTGGGAAACAGGCTGACTTGACAGTTACCACCATGTGAGGTGTAGTGTGCATGGAGGGTGTTGCTTCTAAGGTGACTTTTTCATGGGCAGTACTGAAAAATAGCCTGTATCTTTCCATGTGGAGAACAGATCCCTGCACTGCCTATCCTTCTACAATGCAGTATTATAAAAAAAACCAACCCAACACTTCAGAGGTTTGCTGTTTGTCTGTTAATTTTTCACTTTGGAGGGATGAGGTTCTGTTTCTGACACATCATGTGGCACTGGTAAGTTGCTCAGTCCACTCCATCTTGTGATTTTCCCAGGCATAAAATGTACTCAGTCTTCAACTTTTTCCAAAATCTTGCCAATTTTTATTTCAAAATATAGTGAATATTGAGTTCTTTCCCATTCCAGTTATTAAAATTTGTATCTTCACCCATCAGACTTTTGTCTTTTTGCCATTAAGTCCTTCCCTAGCACCCTAATTACAGTTCTTTCAAGTTTTTTCCTGTCCTTCCCATATGGTCAGACCAATTCCCCCTTTTTCTGCTTCTGGAGTCTGTTTTGAGTGCTAAACATTGTCTTGAGCTTTTGACACGATTGCACATTGTTATGAGTGTTGTGTTGTCCTTTTCCTGTTTGGAATAAATATATATTTTATATTCACCTATAATTTCTTAGGTGTGGTTGCAGCACTGTTAAGTTTATTTACTAGATGGTTATACCATGATTCTGTATCATAATTTGGAATCAAAATACAGAAATGTGCAAAGATTTAGCATCTGCCTGTACCTGGGAAATGAGGCCATGTAAGAAATATCAAGGTTTGCAGCTTTAATGCTGCCCTTTTTATAAAATTCTACTTGTCTGCTGTAGTAGAAATCTTCATATTATAGCAGTAAATCTGATGAGACTTTCAGAACTACTTATCACATGCTTGTTTAAGCATGTGAAATTCCAGTTTTAAAATATGTTGGAAAATCCTTTTATCTAACAAAGCAGAGCCTCTTACCTCATTTCAAAACACCAATGGTATAAGAATTTTTTAAATACACAAATCTGTAAGACTCTTTTTCAATGCTCAGAAACTAAGTAGCAGGAAACAGGAAAATAAGCAAACCTTAGTAGTGCTTGGTCTCCCAGTTTTGCCAGGACTACAATGTGCTTAGAATAATTTAAAACCATTTAATCTAGTAATTGTGAGCCTGTTCTTTTTTGTACTGAATTTGAAATGTAATACCAGAATCTTACAAAAGAATATCATTCCATAAGGCTCCTGAGTGTGTGACAAAACCATGGGCCAGGTCAGGATCTAAGAGCTGGATTTGCCTTCTGCAATTAGCTAATGTATGAGCCCCATTGTCTTGCATAAATACACAATGTCCTCTTGTTTATCACCGACTTCCCTTAGCGCTGAAAGTAAAGGAGATACCTGCTGAA